AAGCCCTTGACAATTTAGAGAAAGAGCCTTCCAAGTATTGCAACAGTAGGGCCCGCTTGCAGGATGGCATGAGGCGGTCATGGTAGGAAGGTAGTGCCTTGCATCAGCTGGGCTCAGCTGCAGCTATATAAAAAGGCATAAGTAAGTGGACCCAGGCATGGTAGCATGGGGAGAATACCTCTCCACAGTGCTTTGCTTAATGACCGTACAATTGTTTAATGACAGCAACTGTGAGAGTTGGAACTGTGGTTGTTGAGTGAAGTGATCATGTGGTCCTGTGAGTTTAATGACCGCACTGCTTAATGACTGAGATTCCAATCCATTGTAATTGTAAGTCTAAGACTATCTGTAAAGGAAGGAATCAGATTGGATAGAAATGCTGAAATAAGAAAGAAAATATTTTTCTTTTTTAAGACAAATTGAAATTTGGAAATGTTTAAATTTAAAATTTAAATTTTTTAATGCTTTCATCAGCTAATTTAGTAAATTTGTTATTGTAGGAAAATAAACTGCATTATGCAAAATGATACATCATACTCATTTAAAGTAATAATTTTCTTCTAAGAATGGTTTACTAATATTCTTTTACACTTCTTCTGTGAACACTTGGAATGTTTGCAAACATATCACAACACCTCAGCAATTTTTGGATAGCTTATATAAATGCAAGGACTTTTACTCAACAAGCACATAAATTAAGGTAAATTTTTCCACTGTAATTTTTTGGGGTGTGTGTGTCTATTTTTCTAAAAAGCCCATCACTGCTTCGGATGATAGCATTACCGGTAGTAGACACTGAGAGACCAAGAGACTCTTTTTGCCTCTCTTTCCCCATAAGTACTATGTGATGTTATGTTCACGCTATTCACAAAGGAAACGTTTTTCTCCATGCTACAATAATTCTACCTCAACTAAATGAACTGTAGACACTATACAAGAAAAGAAGGATTATAAAGAAAAATATACTAATGTAAGAAACAGGTACACAAGACTCTGCCCCAGGGTCTACTGGAAAAAACTAGATGTTTATGCTCTTCCAAAGGCCAGCATGGTTGGTGCCATACATACTTCCAGGAGGCAGGGGCAATCACAAAGGAAGAATTTATACAGTAACCCTCAAGATGATACTATTTCATAGATGAAATCCACAGCATGCTGATCCTGCAAGATCTTAACAGATAGACAAAAGCCAGAGGGATGCCATAGACATCAAATCCCAAACCTTGAAAGGTTCTATAAGTAGCTAACCAGTGCAGCCTGTGAAGTAGAGCTGTCACATTGGCAAACCAATATATGCCTAGAACTACTCATGCTGCTGCATTCTAATTGGCCTTCGGCAACAGCCTTATACAGAGGACATTGCAGAAATCCGAACAAGAGATGACTAAGACATTACTGACTATTTCCCAATTCATGAAAGGACGTAACTGGCCTACAAGATGCATCTAAGGAGGGGTTCTTCTTGTCACAGCTGCCATTTGTTCTTCAAAACAATTTGATCTCAATTCAAGGTCACATATTCAGAATAACAGAGTTGGAAGGGACCTTGGAGGTCTTCTAGTCCAACCCCCTGCCCAGGCAGGAAACCCTACACCACTTCAGACAAATGGTTATCCAACATCTTTAAAACTTCCAGTGTCGGAGCATTCACAACTTCTGCAGGCAAGTTATTCCACTGATTGTTTTAACTGTCAGGAAATTTCTCCTTAGTTCTAAGTTGCTTCTCTCCTTGATTAGTTTCCACCCATTGCTTCTTGTCCTACCCTCAGGTGCATTGGAGAATAGCTTGACTCCCTCTTCTTTGTGGCAGCCCCTGAGATATTGGAACACTGCTATCATGTCACCCCTAGTCCTTCTTTTCATCAAACTAGACATACCAGTTCCTGCATTCTTCATATGTTTTAGCCTCCAGTCCTCTAATCATCTTTGTTGCTCTTCTCTGCACTCTTTCTAGAGTCTCCACATCTTTTTTACATAGTGATGACCAAAACTGGATGCAGCATTCAAAGTGTGGCCTTATCAAGGCATTATAAAGTGGTATTAACACTTCACGTGATCTTGATTCTTTCCCTCTGTTTATGCAGCCTAGAACTGTGTTGGCTTTTTTGGCAGCTGCTGCACACTGCTGGCTCATATTTAAATGGTTGTCCACTAGGACTCCACGATCCCTCTCACAGTTACTACTATTGCGCTAGGTACCACATATACTGTACCTGTGCTTTTTTTTTTTCTTGCCTAAATGTAGAACCTTACTTTTTTCACCATTGAATTTCATTTTGTTAAGATAGTGCCCAATGTTCAAGTCTGTCAAGATCAACAGCCAGGAGATATAATGGTATGTATGACAGATGTTAGGAGACTGGGCAAAGAAATGCTGCCAAGGGAACAGTCAGATAAGAATTAGCATAGTCCATAGCTAGATAGCAGAAGGGGGAAGAGGCTCAGAAGAGATCTTCCTTAATTTCTCAGACCATACAGGGAAGTGGGAGAAGGAGGGATTTGTACTTTCAGACTTGCAAGATTGATCTAAGCTCCCACAGGGTAAACCAGAAAGGAATCACAACTAGATAAACTAATTCTACTTTATTGCAAACTACATTGACAGAATCCTACAACTCTGAAAGTATAGGTAGTCCTCAACTTAGAATTGTTCATTTAATGACTGTTCGGAGTCACAACAGAACTGAAAAAATTGACTTGTGACCATTTTTCACACTTATGACCGTTGTAGCATCTCCATGATCATGTGATCAAAATTCAGACACTTGGTAACTGACTCATATTTATGATGGTTGCATTGTCCCGGGGCCATGTGATCACCTTTTGCGACTTTCTGACAAGCAAAATCCATGGGGAACCCAGATTCATTTAACAACTATGTTACTAACTTAACAACTGCAGTGATTCACTTAACAACTGTGTCAAGAAAGGTCATAAAATGAGGGAAAATTCACTTAACAGATTCTCACTTAGCAACAGAAACTTTGTGCTCGATTATGGTCATAAGTCAAGGACTACCTGTACAATTACATCTCATATACAGTCTGAATACTTGGTTGAATCGTGTGTGTGTTCTGAGCCTCTCCCCCCCCCGGCCCCACCCACTACCCAGTTACAGGCTAGGCTGCCTTCTTTCTGACAGTGTGTCTACCCCCATATTTTTCACACATACCAATACAAAAAGCCAGGAGGTTCCACAAATTATGCACAATTCTGGTCACAAGTAGTGCAACTTCATTCAGAATTAATGTTGGTCAATCACTGGCCATGGGAGATTCTTGTTTTCATAGCCACTCAATTCTGACTGAGCCCAAGCATGTTCTACCCCATCTATGCTTCAATATGTTCCAGGCACCAGGGCCATGGGTGAAGATAGCTGGATATCATCTAAGTATGGATGATACCTGATATTGCCCGAAAGATTCATATAGCAGTTGTGCTGAACCCTAAGCAATATTGCAAAGCAAGGGCTTCAGTCTCTATTGATTCTCCCCACTCCCTAAACACCAACTGGAACCAATCCCAGAGAAGAGGAGAACCACTGAAAAATAACACATCCCAACTCTTAGAAGGATACCGTGACTGCTGATATTTAATACTAGCCTAACATCTGCAGTGTAACCCTAAAAAAATGCTCTCTAGCTATTTTCTACCTACATAAAATAACCAAACAAAATGATTAAAAAAAAAAAAAAACAAGTCCCAAACCACAGATGAAAAACTTTACTACTGATACCGAAGTCTGGCTTTTTAAAATTAACTTAAGATAAATGAAACAAGGGATAATGGAACAGCAGGGAAGCAGGGCCACCTGTACTTTGCACTCATTAAATATCCAATTAATACCTCTTTAAACTTCTTCACACAACATAAATTTTAATTCTATTTTAATTTCAAAATGAATTATCACACAATGTATTGAATTTTCTTCATTTTCTAAAAATGTTCTAAGTTAAAAATTAGAAGATGTGTTTTCTATACAGCATGCTGAGAAGCGTCTGTTATTAATGGAAAGATTAATGAATATGTTATACATTCCATCTGTTGAAATAATTTTGTTTATATAACATGTCATTGTCTACTCATGCTTGTAAAGATGTCGTGACAAAAACCCATCTTTAAAAAAGTAAACTATCCTTAGTAAATAAAATGTTAAGTTCAATAAATAAAGCAACAGTCCTATGTCAGATCTTATAGGGAAAAATATTTTCAAACTTTAACTTAGCAATAGAGGTAGTCCTCGACTTACAACAGTTCACTTAGTGACCATTCAAAGTTACAACGGCACTGAAAAGAGTGACTTATGACCAATTTTCACACTTATGACCACTGCAGCATCCTCATGATCATGTGATCAGAATTCAGATGCTTGGCAACTGGTTCATATTTATAACGATTGCTGTGTCCGAGGGTCATGTATATTACGACCTTCTGACAAGCAAAGTCAATGGGGAAGACAGATTCACTTAACAACCATATTACTAACTTAACAGCTGCAGTGATTCACTTAACAAATGGGGCAAGAAAACTCATAAAATGGGGCAAATTAACAAATTTCTCACTTAGCAACATAAATTTTGGGCTCAATTGAGGTCATAAGCTGAGGACTACTTGTATATAGGTCAAAGTGAAAATTATAATGAATCTTACATTATACAGAAAGTCATTCATATACTGCCTTGGCATTCATTTTTGTTGCTTTTATTTCCATTAAAATTATAGTAGTAGCAAAATACATCTATCCTTACTAGAATGCTAGTATCCAAGAATAAGCAATCATCAGTACTGTCCTAAAGATAGTTAACCAGATTTGGATTCTTTACGACAATTGTTTACCAAAACATTTAAACAGTAAATTCTATCATCTTGTCACTGAATAATATTTCTGCAGAACCATTTAATAATGGTTGTAAGTCAAGAACTACATGTACTCAAATATGGAAGTACAGGAGACAAGACATTCTTACTTTTTAAAATCGAAGAAGAGAAGCAACATATACCTGATTTTGGAATTACATGTCATTTCGTTTTCTGGATAATGAATATCAACTGCATCCTGAATGACTGTGCCATATTCATAGACTTTAATCTTCTTTGTGACTCCCGCAATAGCAAAATAGTCACAGTCTCGATCAAATTCAATACTAAGAAACAAAAACACAAAAGACATAAATTTATGAATATAACATATTGTTTTCTTATGATGATGATGCGTATTATTTTTCAGGAGAACACCATCTCCGACGTTCAGGTTAAGATACCAAAATTTCTAACTTTTAAGTTTGCAAAAGGCTACCTTCTCACTAAATTTTCTGTCTTGTTGATTCATTTCTACTGGTAGAATAAAATTAACATGAGAAAGGAAATTTAATCCAGAATAATAAAACAAGAGAAAAGAGAAATTAAAAGGGAAAATGTGTGGGGAAGTAAATGTTATTCCTGATATTTTTTTAAATGCAAAAGATGGACTTGCTGGATTGTTCAGCATTGTATAAAACAATACACCAGAGCCAGGTTGGCTATTTCTTCCAAACTGTCACATTACCAACTATCCCAATGACAAGGAGGACAATTTACCCATAAAACCTGAGAATAGTACACAGTTTTTGTATCTGAGTTAGTGTGTAATTGTGACTTACTTACTAAAATAGGTTGACTCTGTCTATTGCTGGCTATCCTTTCCTTTGCTCTATCAGGAACAGCATGGGCAATAAGGGATGCAATGTATTCATCCTAAAAACATACTTGCAAAGAATGCACTAAAAATAATTAAATTTAAGACAGAGAAATTTCTGAGTGATTTTAATGGAAGTAACCATTAATTATTTGATTTAGTATTGTCTGACTAACTCCTTATTGATTTTGGGCAATTCATGGTACATAAAAAATATACAGTCCACACAGAAAACAGTAAACAAGATGGCAAATCTGACCAGCAATACAAAAACATATATTACACACCCCAAAATAGGCTTCAGCCACCCTGGTCCAGAGTCCATTTTGGAGCTGAAGAATGGGCTGAAGAATGTGTCCCTAGCAGAGCAAATTATATTAAGAATACAACTGACAAAATGGCTTAGGATACAACTGAAGCAAGAAAATGCTGGAAAAAATATTTTATAGATGTCTATGAAAATGACAGCAGTATGCTAAAGAATGGAATTAAAATAATTTCTATGAAAGTTAGTACCCAAGAAAACAATGATGAAGTCCCAAATATATGAGAACATGGAACAATTGCACAGGCTCTGTGAACCATTTAACCTGGATGTGAAGACTGTATTTACATTTGATGACTGGAGGAATGGTGGCATGGTTCATCTATATCAGAGGTGGGTAACTATGGCCCAGTTATGACTTGTGGACTTCAACTCCCAGAATTCTGGGAGTTGAAGTCCATAAGTCATAAAAGGGCCAGTTACCCACTCCTGCTCTATATGAAATTAAAAAAAAATAATAATAGAAGGGCTTATTTTGTTAAATTTGTCTGGGAAGGAAGCAGAATTCTGACTAAAAGGGCACAACTGGTGATAAAGAGGAAAGTCTGAAAAGTCAAGTGCTGGGTTATATTTATAATGAGTTTTGCAGACCAAAGCTTGCAGATCATTGAGAATCATGTGTTTGTTAGAAATAAATTTTATTGCACATTTCTCAATTTAGAGAAGTGCATAGGTTTAGATTAAGAGAATGCTTTGGAAGGAATGTTGGTTGTGATATCACAATTCCTGTTCTCTATATAGGCCTGTATCATTTAGCTATATCACATTAATCAAAATTTTTTTTAAAAAAAAAACACATCATTTTTTTTTGAAGATATCAAAGAACCCCCAAATTGATATCCAAATTCTGGTTAAAAAGTATAACGTGACTTAGAACTTTATAGATGCTGAATTAGCTGAATTTAATGCTTGAAAACTGCACTGTCACTATATCAATCATTATAAAGTTGTTCTGAAATGAAAAAAATAAATTCTAATTCTAAAACTTGGCAAATTTGGAGTAGCTTCAGGTTTTGAAGCTATTTTTTACATTATCAGAGGAACAGTGATCACAACACTATATTAGACATTGTACAATAATCTTTTTTCTCATTAAATTATCATTTATCATCTATTTTCTCTAAAGTTCTGGAAATCCCTCAGTTCTGATTTTACATCATACTTTTTAAATTTTCCAGAAGGGAAAGCCTTTATCTTCTTATGAGAAGTTAAGATTATTTTCAGGTAGAGCAGTAGGGGAAAAAAGATAAAGATCTCTAACTTCATTTGTGCTTCATAAATCTATAATTCTAATAAATTAAAAGCACTGGCATCATCCATTTTCTAGTTTAAACTCATTACAGTTTATCATTAATGTCCAAAACAGAAAAAACAGTGATTATTTTGAACAATCATGAATAGAAATACAAATCAAGATTCTAGTTTTAACTAGGTACATCTAAAGGGAAAGGAAGTTTCACCCAAAGATTAGTTCATATTGTGAAATGTAACATTACCAGTCCTACAGTATGTCCTTCCATGTTTTGCACAATATCCAGCCAGAATGACCCAGGGATGAGTATCATAAAATGATACCCTACAGACACTCACAAATAACTAGAAATAAATTTGGAGAATCATGCATCTCCAGCTTGTGAAAGCAACTAAACTAATAAACCAGTCTGATCCCATAGGTGTTTCAAAAATTAAACACTTTAGTGTTCTATCTGAACACTAAACAGATGAATAAAGGGAAAAGAGTATAGCTGCACATTTGAATGAACTAATCGAGCTGAGCTGTATTTAGGGTGATAAGCTTGTACTGTTTTTGTTAGCTATATCACTCAAGACATTTGCATACTCCAATTAATCTTCAAGACAAGGACTCAAGATCTCACCAAAACGCATCTTTAGAAATACTATTTGTAGAGAGAATAAAATACTGCTCTTAAAAAGATCAATATCTAAAAATGCAATTTGAGCAGTTTCATTTAATTACTACTTTTCAAACTTTAAGGGGCGATCAAGAACAGACTCCTGCTGAATTCTACCTTGGCATTCTCTAGGCTCTATGCTTGTCCTGACTTAAGATTTGTCCCTCCATGGTACCATCACAGCCACTTTATGAATGAGCAAATTATGACTCTCCACAGTAGCCCCACCACAAAAACATGTAAAATTTCAAATGTGGCAATTTTTCAAAAAGTTTAGATTCCCATATATTTATTCTGACTTCTGGGGAAGAAAGGAGATAGGATAGTGATATAACAATATCACTGGAGAGTTCATTTTTGGAAGGATGTTCAAAACAAGTGTGAAGCCTACCCAGAAGCATAACATACTTATTTAGAGCTATTTATTTGATAAAAGAATAAAAGAAAGTGCACTGCATTGTTGTGTTATTATTATTTTGGAACTGTAATCCTAGAGAATTTGCACCACAAAAATGATTGTAAGGACCATGAACAACCCACAGGGTTCCTGCTCTCTCTTGACATAAGAGTGAATATATGATTGACTACGATGATTTTAATGGATCTGAAGTCCAAGGCTACAGCCTTGTATTAGTTAAGTACATCAATGGTGTTCTCATTATTCTGTTACTAATATAATCTTAAACAACTGAGCTTGAAAAGGAAGTTTATCCCAATCAAATGTGCATCTAGGAAGACATTTGTGAATGTGGTTGTGAGATGTTGTGAATGTATGTATCTGAGATGTACATGGGGACTATCAATGGTTGTGTATTATTATTATTATTATGAATTTGAATTGTAGATATTTGAATTTTTGTATGGGTACTTTATGTTTATTGTTTTTACAATCCACTTAGATTTACTTTTCTCCATCAGATTGTTTATTATTCTTAGCAGAGCATATACAGCTGCTATAGGCAGTTAATATAGTTACTGCTTTATTTCTGGGACAGCACAGTAATAGTCTGCCATGCTTCAGAGATGAACCATGACTGCAACAAACACTTGATAATCATTTTAAATAAGACTCCTATTTATAAGCACAGCAATTAACTATTAATATGACTCCTTTTAATAAATATTTTCCCCAAAATTGTGACCAATTGCAATTGCTTTAATAGCCACCTATGTGGGAAAGGTAGCTCTACTGAAATATATGTGCAAAATAACTACTTATGAATATTGTCAGGTGCTCCCACATGGGTCTTTCATTTGCATATTGCATATTCAGTTATTGTGGGAAGCATTTGAATTGCCTAAAGTATATGGCAATATATTTACTACAATGCATTCTACATGGGGCTGCCCTTGATGAGCATTCGGAAACTTCAGGTGGTGGCTTGTAAATGGTGCTGGCTATTTGACACATGTAACAAAGGCTATATTGGCTGCCACTGTTTCAAAATGCTGGTTGTCATCGTTAAACACCTTTATGGCTTGAGACTGGGTTACCTGAGGGACTGTCCTAGTTGTTTCTACCCAACCAATCCAGTATGCCAGGATTGGTTGGGTAGTCCTGTCAGCCATGGAATGTTATTTGATGGGAATCAGGAGATCAGGAGATGCTCCTTTTCTGCCATAGTGCCTGACCTCTGGAACAGTCTGCGTCCTGGGATTAGGATGGCCCCAACCCTGTTGCCTTTTCGGAAGGCCTTGAAGACTTAGCTATGTGTTTGGGCTTGGGGTCCCAAGTATGTGAAGGGTTTCATTTCCTGGTTATGTTGATATCAACAGATTATAATGCTATTTGGCTGCTATTTGTATTTAATTTCTGTTTTGTGCTGTGTTTTAACTTCTTTAATTGTTGTTATAATTGTTCTCCACCTACTGGTTTTAGATGGATGGCTATACCAATGGAGTATATAAATACTGTTAATCATCTCTTGATTTCATTTAGTTCAGCTGCTCAGCAGCATCTAAAACATCTGAGATATTATCAGTATTGAAATTTTGGATGATTCTATGATTCAACATTAGTTGTTTGTAAACAACTAATGAAGAACTGGAATAATTTATATTAACAAATCAGTGACTAGGGTGTTAAAAATATTAAGCATATTTATTATGATCTTAAGGTGAAACTAAATCAACATTGAGACCGCCTGCTGCTACCGACGACCTCCCATCGTCCCGTGCGCTCCCACAGAGAGGGCTTCCTCAGGGTGCCATCAGCCAATCAATGTAGGCTGG